AGCCCTGCCTGGGGCTGTAGCCAGGCAGGAGGAGCCCCGGGTGCAGGGCCAGCCCACAACATTTTGGCACCGGAGATGGGGAGCTCAAATGACGCCCCCCTACCCCCTCACTTGGGCCAACCCTGTTATGTCTCTTGTGCCCTCCTTCCTCGTGGCACCGCTCTGCTACCGACATCTGCACCAGCGGCAGACACAATTTCCTACACTCTGGGTGCTAGTGACACCCCCCCACAATCTGGCACCTGAGGCGGCCACCTGAGTTCACCTCATGGGAAGGCTGGCTCTGTTCGGGTGCCAGGCAGGGGAGGGGGGTCTGGGCATCCTGCCCCCCCCCCCTCCAGCTGGACCATATTTCCCAACCTCTTTGCTCCCAGCTTGGGCTGTGGGATGGCACCCGGTGTGTGCCACTCTGGGCCACTCGGCTCCCGGGCTCCTGGCCTGGGCCCCGTGACCTCAGCGTTTGGCCTGGTTTGCACGTGCCGCTGAGCAGAGACGGCCCTGGGCTCTCCTGCCTCCCAGCCCCAGCCTGGCCTGGCCTGTGGGGCTCCCCGTTTCCCAGCCTGGGCGACTGTAGCTGTAGGAGGGGTGGGATGCTACGAGATGGCCCCTATGGCTCATTGGCTTCCCAATGCCCCTCTCGCTCATCAGGCATCCTTCATCTCTGCTCCACTCACCCACCCTCCAGCCCTACTCTACCGCCAGGTCCCGCCCACTTAGCTTAGAAGAATGACAAGATTTCATCTTTAGGCATTTCCTTTCCCAAATGTTGACTGGAGCAGGGAGCTGCTTTTCCAAAGATCCAGAGACCTGGAATCCTCCCAGAAGCAAATCATCTTGCGGTGGAGCAAAGCTGCATGGCAGTTTTCCAGGCTGGAGATATTTATATTGCCGTCAGTAGGGTTCAGAGTTAACAGCTTTCTTTCACCAGTTACCTGCACCACAAAGCAATTATTCTAGGCTCTCAGCAGATGCGGATATGGGGGAGCCAGGAAGAGGCTCTAGCATAACATTAGGGTCAATTTGCCCTTCCCAATATGAGACCAAACCAGTGCCATCTCCCTGAGCCTGCTGATGGCCTGAATTAAGACCCTGTGAAATCGGCTCCCGTGATCACTCTGAATCCTACTGATGGTGAATGATATCTCATTATCTCTGTTGCCCATCTGAGCTGGGAACATGAAGTAGGCCAGTGGCTTGCACATTCAGGATGAGATAATTAACCCCCCAAGCTACAGGATAATTGTAGAAAGTAACAGAAATAACAGTACCTGAGCAGACTCCTAATGAATCCCCCTGGTGAGCCCATCCCATCCCATCCATTGGGTTTTTGGAACCATGCCCATCCCTGGAGTATTTTTAGAGGATTAAGCACTTGTGTTAGAATCGGAAGGGGCTGATCTTTGGTCCTCGTGGTCTCTTCTCAGCAGGATGCGCTAGTTTGATAATTACAGTGGCTGGATGGATCCGTGGAGTGGTGGGTTAGTTGCACAGCCTACACACTTTGGTAAACTTGATATTCATTTGGTTGGTCGGTCGCACTGGCTACACGTTGCTTGGTTAGATATGTCAGATGTAGGAGACTGTCAGGGCTGACCGCCAATTACCTCTGTACTTTATCGCGGACGGTCCAGCTAGAGCCAGCGGGGAGCCGGTTTTAACCGGTGATGAGCTGGCCCTAGGCCTCCTTAGTTGCTTCAACAAGTTGTGAGATAATTAGACCCAAGGACATGAGGTGTGAGAACTAGATAGCAGCGGTGTTTCCTGCTAGAATCTGCTTGTGGATGTTTACGCCCCTAAGAAAGGAATAATTATAAGATGGCCAAAAAGCACTGATCCAGGGAACGGTCTCACCTGGGGACCTAGGCCGTGTGGGTGCCCAGGGACTCCCCACGCTGGAGCAGTGACCGCTACTAGCCGTCAAGAGCGCGGACGGAGGGTCCGGGACTGTCGGTAGCAGAAGGGGTGTAAGCATTGGATTCTTGCTTGCTGGCCGTCTGCACAATCACCATCAGCTTCCCCAGGCCACGTTCCCGCGAGCAGCACATGCCGCTGGTCACGGCACTCCCAGGACAGACGCAGGAGCAGGGGTCACCGCCCGCCTCAGCTCCTCCTGCTTGGGGTCATCCTCCTCCATCAGGCTGTGGATGGGCTGCAGGCCAGGGCTGGCTTTGAGGCTCTCCATCCAAGCTGAGAGTCCTTGCCATCCTTCCCAGAGAAGAGGATGTCGGTTGTGCTGTGTCCTCCCTCCACCTCCACGTGGCGCTCCTGATGCGTCTCGTGGAAGCTCCCCTGAACCTTCCTCTTCTTCTCCTCTTCGCACTTGCTGTACCCACCCTTGACTGAGCCCATTCCGACACTCACAGCTGCCTCCGCGCTCAAACAGTCCTTGACCTCGTCATCTGTCAAGCCGCTCAGCGCCGCTTCACAGACCCGCACGGCTGTCACATCCCGCGCCCGGCCCCCCAGCCGCACCTGGGACACGTAGTGGGTGCCGTAGTTGCTGATGAGTTACTGGTACTCCACCTCGGATTTGCTGTCGTACTGCTCCGGGAGGTTCTTCAGCGCCCGAGTGAAATGGCTGGTGAGCGGGGGCGTCTCGCTGACCCGGAACCTGCCCAGGGACACAAGGTGCGGAGTGAGCTCAGCCTGGCCAGTCAGCTGTGATCATTATCGGCGCGTTCTATGGTCCTGACTAGAGAGAATTGCTTCCCTTGGACTCAGTTTGGAAAATGACAGTGTGGGGGGAGTAACACGTGCTAAGCACAGAGAAACCCAACAAACTAATGAAAATAATCTGATCGCATCTGACTAAACATTTTCTATCCTACTCACATAACTGTAATTTCGAGATTCAGTCCTTCCCTAGGCATGGATGTGACTGGACTCCCCATGCCTGGCTCCCTGGCTTAATTCATGTCTGTCCAGCTCTCCTCTGGTCACAACACCCGGAACAGGAAATTTCTCTGCTCCCAATTAAAAACCCCACATTCTGATTCCATTGGCTCTCCAGGCTTCCTGCCAACTCACTTCCTACTTCCCCTGCATTCCCGGAGGCTGCCTAGGACCCACTGTCTATGGTTTTAATCCTTCCAGGCAAGACAATTAGGGTTAGGTTTCAAGAGTTAACTACGGTGAAAAGATTTTAGATAACTGAATGGATGAAACGCCCCCTCCCATTCATCACCCTCCTCTTCACCTGCCGCTCACAAACAAGGAGGAATTGGTAAGGGGAGTGGAAGTGGCAACAGCAACCATGAGGTGGTCGAGTTTCGGATCCTGACCAAAGGAAGAGCAGCAGAGTATGGACCCTGGATTTCTGAAAAGCAGACTTTGACTCCCAATGGGAACTGATGGGCAGGATCCCCCGAGAGGTTAATCCGAAGGGGACAGGGGTCCAGGAGAGCTGGCTGAATTTGACGGAAGCCGTACTGAGGGCACAGCAAGAAACCATCCCAATGTGCAGGAGGAATGGCAAATCTGGCAGGTGACCAGCTTGGCTTCAAAGAGAAATCTTTGACGAGTAGTTTGGAAAAAAGAAGATTAAGGGGGGACATGATAGTGGTTTTCAAATATCTAAAAGGGTGTCACAAGGAGGAAGGAGAAAATTTGTTCCTCTTGGTTTCTGAGGACAGGACATGGAGTAATGGGCTTAAAGTGCAGCAGGGGAGGTTTAGATTGGACATTAGGAAAACATTCCTAACTGTCAGGGTGGTCAAATATTGGAATAAATTGCCAAGGGAGGTGGTGGAATCTCCCTCTCTGGAGATATTTAAGAACAGGTTAGATAGACATCTGTCAGGGATGGTGTAGACGGAGCTTGGTCCTGCCTTGAGGGCGGGGGGCTGGACTCGATGACCTCTCGAGGTCCCTTCCAGTCCTATGATTCTATGATCAAGCATGCAGGGGTGTAATCAGAAAAGCCAAAGCCCAACTGGAATTGCAGCTGGCGAGCGACATGAAGGACAAGAAGCATCTACAGGTACGTTAGCAACCAGAAGGTCAGGGAACGAGCGGGACCCTTACTGAACGGGGAAGACAACCTAGTGACAGGTGATGTGGGAAAAGCTGAAGTACGCTGTGCGTTTTTGGCACCTGTGGAGTGCTGCTTCCAGTTTTGAGCTCTCCACTACAGAAAGGATGTGGACACACTGGAGAGGGGCCAGCGGAGGGCGACCGAAATGATTTGGGTGCAGGAGCACGTCACCTGCGAGGAGAGGCTGAGGGATTTGGGCTGGTTTAGTCTGCAGAAGCGAAGAGTGAGGGGGGATTTGATAGCAGCCTTCAACTCCCTGAAGGGAGGTTCCAAAGAGGATGGAGAGAGGCTGTTCTCAGT